TTTTGAGCATCTTTCCAAGTCGCAGCAATTTTATGAGAAAAATATATGTAAGTCTGTCCCTTTAGGGGAACGCCACAGCTTCCCATACCAGCTATTTTAATGAACAGGATTGTAAAATAAGTCCAGACAAATTAAAACATGGCTGTGCTAGGTCCCAGGCTTCATCCAGGCTCGTATAGGGATTAACATTTAATGAGAGGAGCCTGGAGCAGCTTTTTCCCTTATGTATACCCTTTGGGGCGCAATTAACCAGTAGCCAAACCTGCTATCTTTCCCTCCCCTTTTCACTTCTTCCTCCTGTGCCTACTCGCTTCCATGTCATGGAAGGACAATGGGTATGACATGGGAAGCAGTAGGAAGAAAGGTGTGCATGCGAGTGTAAGGACTGAGGCCCTTTAAGATTACAGAGTTCTCAGTCAGAGCTTGCAGCTGAGTTTCTAAGAAAGTTAGGCACAAAGGGGACTGAGCCCCTGTGCAAACATATCTAACTAAATAACTCTTGTACAATATGACCCTGAGACAGAGTCAAGCCCAAGTAATTTAACACCTCTTCCGTGAAGTTTTGTGTTTTTTTTGGGGGGTTTTTTGGGGTTTTTTTTTTATTCATCTGTTTTCTCAACAAATATTTGTTGAAATCTCGCGTTGTGCCATGCCTGGTGCTTGCTGCGGGGGGACCAAGATGAGAAAAAGCTAAGGCCTGCCATTAGGTGAGCTGTTGGTCTGGAGAAAAGACAGGCATGTACAGGGGTGAGGCAAGGCAGAGGTGCAGAGGGGAAGAGCTATAGGCATGGCTTTCCCTCAGAGAAGAGCTAATGTGTTCTTGGGCCTGGCCTGGTTCATCTCCAAGATCCTGTACGCTTCAGTCAAGAACTTTACAGGCTTAGAATCAAAATTGTAAGACAGCTTGGGATTTTCATGAGATTTCAAGAGGAAGCCAAGGCTGTAAATACAAACGGCTTCTTCCTGGGTTTCAATGGTATTGGCCAATGGTGCCATGCAAGGTAACTAGAGAAAGCATACCTAAATTTTGAGGCTGATCACTACAAAAGCTAATATTTTGCTCTTCAAGAAGATGCTCCTCTTCAGGAAGTACAGCTCTGATGACACAAGAGGTCTTCAGTCCTCATCAGTGAGTTGTGTTCATAGCACAGCTTACCCAGGGCCTTTCACATGCACCCTTTTCTTCCATTATCACCACTCAACCAGTGGGGGACCATTATTACTCTCCTCATTTGGGGAGTGCAGAAGTATGACCCAGATTAAATAATTCTCTGAGGACTCTACAAGGACCCAAGGAAGCTGGGGAGTCAGAATCGGAGCCCAAGTCTACCCTACGGATTGTGTTCTCCATAGTACTTCAAAGGATTCCTCTCAGGTCCCAGCCCCTCCAGCTATCAGCCAGAAAGCTCTGATGTGGATCAGGTGAAGGTCAACAGGAACTTATCAAATGCTCACTTGTATTGGATATGTCACAGAGTCAGGATTCACATCCGATGCTCTGACGTCAGTCCAGTGCATATGCTACTACACATCATTTTCTTTCTCACAAAAGTACGTGTGAGCACAATTTATTATACCCTGACTACGTGCCAGACGCTATGCTAGAAGTTTTACTTCTGCACATGTGAACTCGTGTAACTGATATCAGTTATGTCTGTCTGCCATGCTAGAATGTCAACTCCTGGAGGTCAGGAAAGAACCATGCCTGGCACGGTCACCATCAGATCCCATTGCTGTAGGATTGGCACGTAGTGGGCACATGAGAGAGGAGACAAGTGAGAGCAGTTCCTACACCACCCCTGTCCAGTGGTTAGTGTCATCCCTGGCTTACAAGCAAGGAAACTGGGATTGGAGAGGAGCCATGACCCACATTTCACAGAATCCCACTTACATCACATAAAGGATAGATGAGCTGTCAAAGCACATTCTTCAGTGCCATCCTATTTGGTTTCCAGCAACCATTCTGGGAAGTTATATCTGTTTTCATGTCAAAGCAAAAATCAAGAAGGAAAATGAAAGCAGTTCCTTTTATATCAAGGACAAAAAAAAAAAAAAAAAAAAAAAAAAAAAAAAAACAGAGAGAGAGAGAAACATAAGAAAAATCACAACAGGACCTACAACTTGAGACCAAATGATAAAGTAGCATCTCTGGTTTCTGCTCCCATCAGGAGTCAGTGAGTCTCCCACGCAGGCGGAGAGGCCATCTGCAGAGGGGAACCTGAACACTGACAGGCTGTGTTCCCATCAGTTAGCATCCCATAAACATCAAGGTCACCCTGTTCAGGCCCCTTGCATTAAGACGTGTAAGAGCCCACAACCCAGCTTGTAAAAGGCTGATGGAGAGGGGCCCAACCACCAGGCAACCTCAGCTTCATGCCAGGAGAGCGTGTCTGGTGTAAAATGGTGAGGAAATGCTGCATTTGGATGGGCAGCCCAGCAGTCTCCAGATGACAAAAGTGAGACTGAGTGTCTGGGAAATTCTGCGGAGGGGATCTCATTTCATTTCACATATATCCAGGGGCTGGCTTGGATGTAACAAAAGATAAGCAACAGGGCCAGGAAAGGAGACAGACCCGCTGGAAGAACCAGGACGTTCCTGCAGAGGAGAGCCTGCCTCTTTGCTGATCAGTTTCCTTAATCTTAAAATGTCTGTCTTGCATATTGCCCTGAGAATTGTCAAAACAAGGAAGAAGCACCAGGGGAACCGCATGACCTTGTAGAATTCGCTCATACCGTCTGGGTCTCAGTAGCCTCACCTCTAAGAAAGATAGTAGCTGGGTGTTCTGACAGCATTGTTGTCGAGGTTAAATGAGAAATTGCATATGAAGAGTGCTTTGCAAACTCTAAAACCTGATATAAGTGTTAGTTATTAAGCCAAAAATGGCTCTCCCACACATTACCTCATTTGATCTAACACCACGTCCCTGTGAGATGGTGAAATGGGAATTTTTTTATGCCTGTGTCACAGACATAGAAAGCAAGGCTCAATGAATTTCATAACCTGCAACCTGCAGATCACCCAGCCAATAAGTGACAAAACAAGAGTGGACCCCAAATCTATCTGATCCTAAAATTCATGGTTTTTTACTTACTGTGTATAAGCAAGAAGGTGCAGCAGTAACAGCTGTAGATTATTTGGATACCCTTTGGATTCCAACATCAGTTTGTGCTTTGTCTGGATTGTGATCTCCCAGAGGATGGAGATTATGTCTAGTTTTTCTCCGTATTCCTGACACAGCCACACTCTTCAGCGCATAGTAGGCATGCATGCAGTACTATCTGAAGAATTAATGATCAGTGTGAATTTATTGATACATACTGTATATCAGGCACCCTCTGAAGGGATGCTTTCACCACCCCCATTTTACAGAAGAAGAAAGCGAAATTCAGCAATGGAATAGGTAGCCTGAGGTCACATAACTGGCAGAACATATATTTAGAATCCCATCTGATTCTAAGTCTTATTTATTTATTTATATATGTATATATGTTTATATATATATATATATACACACACATACACATATACGTGTGTGTGTGTATATATATATATATATATATATATATACACACACACATAATGCTTATTTACTTTTTGAGAGGCAGAGAGAGACAGAATGCAAGCAGGGGAGGGGCAGAGAGAGAGAGAGAGAGGGAGACACAGAATCTGAAGCAGGCTCCAGGCTCTGAGCTGTCAGCACAGAGCCCGACGCGAGGCTGAAACTCACAGACCACACAATCGTGACCTGAGCCGAAGTTGACACGCTTAACTGATTAAGCCACCCATGTGCCCCTTGTATTTAGTTCTTAAACATTGTAGCCATTGCATTGTAGGTTGATATGAAAGGTCTAAACCTCTGCGATCTAATTTTGATTTAGCTCCTTTTTCAAAAATAGCTAGACTCTTAGTAGCTTCTAAACCAGAATACAGCTTGGAAGATTCCAAGCTGTCGTGGGCAAATGCAGCGTGACACAGTGCCAGTTAATTTAGTTGGAAAAAGAATAAAAGCGTCGGGATTTTCATTTGAAGACAGTGGGGCCTCGAGGCCCAGACTCCAGGCAGGGTCTCCATCACAGTGCTGGCAGAGAGCATCAGTGGCCACAGCTGCTCAACCAGTTTCCTAAAACCTGTTTCCGAGACTTCACAACCTCTGCCTGTGTAACTGTGAGGCTGCCACTGGCCCCCAGCCCAAGCGGCTTGTGAATCGGGCCGTGTGTGTTTCGTGCCGACTCACAGGCCTTTTGCGAAGGGCTGGGCAACCCCTCTCTGGCTGTGAGATGGTCCCCCAACTCTTTGCTTTGGATCAGAAGGGCCACTGAGGTGGTGCTTGGAGTGGGAGTGACAGGGCAGTGTGTGGAGCATGGAGCACAGGTGGCAGAAGCACAGAGCCACCCCCTAGAAAACACGCCAGGGTGCGGGGCACTGGCCTCCCTTTCACCCCACCTCCATCGCAGTCAAGGCCAGAATGAAATGCAGACCCCAGGCCCCCTGCACGTGCCCAAGCCAGATCCACGAGCACTTCACTTGGCAATGGGGGACTCGTCCTCACTTTGTTTTCACACATAACCAGTTTTTAATTAAATTTGACTTTTCCTCACATCTGTTTGGAAGGCCCGTCCCCGTTGGAGGTGGCAAGCACAAGAGCAGGGACAGGCTGGCAATAGGGGAAAGCAAACAGAGCAGAGCCCTCCAATCCGCCCTATTTTGGTAGGGAAACGGGTCAGGACAGGCTTTTGCCCGGAGAATTGTTCTCATCTGAGGGTTACACTGTTCAGGGAGATTCGACTCCCGAGCCTCACAGGAGACGGGGTGGGTAGCCACGTGTGACCCTTGTTCCCAACAATGACTGGCTCAAAATGTGTTTTGTTTTTCTCCCCTCCCTCCCCTTCTGCTCTCCCCCCTTCCCCTGCACCCCCCCTCCCCCCTCCTCCCCCCTCCCCCCTCCGCCCTCCTCCCCCCTCCCCCCTCCTCCCCCCCTCCACCCTCCTCCTCCCCACAGAGATCTGTGCTGCCGACTGTGGTGGCCACGGAGTCTGCGTGGGGGGCACCTGCCGCTGCGAGGAAGGCTGGATGGGGGCGGCCTGCGACCAGCGGGCCTGCCACCCGCGCTGTGCGGAGCACGGGACGTGCCGCGACGGCAAGTGCGAGTGCAGCCCCGGCTGGAACGGCGAACACTGCACCATCGGTATGGCGGGCCCAGGCCCGGGACCTGCTGCGGGACCTGCTGCGGGTGGCACGCTGCCTCTGTCCGCATGTGGGAGCTGGGCAAAACGTCCTTTCATCTGGCGACATTATGGTTGGCCTTTCCCAGCATCAGTTGGACTTAAGCTCACAACTGGCCATCTTTAACCTTTTCCCTCCCAGTCTGCATTTCCCAGATGTCTGTTAGCTGGTCCGCGTGCCTCGCTATGTACCCTTCCTGGGCCGGACGCGGTAGGGCTCTGTATTAAGAAGCCGGAGGTCAGGAATAAGGCACATGACTACTACCACTTAGCAGCTAGCTGTGGGCTGTCCCAGTGCCTCTTTGAGCCTCAGTTTGCTCACCTATAAAATGGGGATCATATAGCATATAAAGAGCATAGCACAGGCTGGCCCATGGTACAGTGCTCAGTAAGCGTGGCCGATATTATCAAATTCATGATCTGGTTGGGAGCGCTTGGGCTTAGCTCTGAGGCCCCCACACCCCCTCGCCACCTAGGCCAGAGCTCTGAGAGAGGCCTGGAATCCTGGGGAAAGCTTCCCACGGGCCCCGGCACCACTTCTGCCTCCCATTGGGCCTGGCTTCGTCCCTCCCTCCCCTGTCCTTGCTTCCATCCAGTCTGCATTGGTCTCCTCTGTCCTCTCCTGGGGCTCCTCCCATGGCTCCTGCTGAAACAGCACCGTTGTTGGCAGCTCTCGGCACAAGCTCATCACTCCCCTCCATTCTTCCTGCCTTTCCTGCTGCTTTTGTTGATTTTAAACACAGCCAGACGTTTTGCTTGGTTTGTTATCCTGGAAAGAGCACTCACCAAAAGCTCTTTATTGAATCAACTGGTTTGTGTGTGTGTTTTAACTTCTTCCCCTTCCATTTTTTTCAAAAGGAGGGTCTGTGATCAGATGGTGAGCACATGGCTTTGGAAGGCAGGATTCCGGGTGTCTCTCTGACTCTGAAAGTCACCTCTTGGGTCTTACAGAACCTGGGAGACAAGCCCCAGATCTTTTGGGGGACAAAGAAATTTGGAGCAAATGGAGCCACTGCTCTCATTTTTCTTGGGCTCCATTCCTTTTGTTTTGTGATCTGAAATTAGTCTGTATTCATCATTCCCCACCCCCACAGCATCACTCTGTTTATAAATGGCTGTGGGATTCCTTGCACTTATTAATAAGAATGGCTTCTAATTTTTGATTATTTACAATGTGCCGAGCATGTGCTCAGGGCTCTAACTGCATTATTTCATACTCCTGCTCCCAACGGTCACCCTGTGAAGACACACATATTATTTCTTCCTTTTCAGGGACCTGAGGCTTAAGGTCACTTAGCTTTTAAGAAGTAGAACTGGAACTTGAGGCTTGGTTTTCTGAGCCTTGGTGCCCAGGCTCCTCACCAGCTGCTTGCTGTGCAGTCTTCAAGGCAAAGCCCAAATTTGCTATGGAGGCATCTGGCTCACCTCCTTCCCAGAGGCTGTGCCTTCTCATTATGAGTTGCAAACCTGGTTTGCCTACCCCGTACTCTTAACAGAGCCATCCTGGAGCCGACGGCAGCCCTTCCTGCTTTGTCCCTAGCAGAGAGTGCCACAGTGCACAGTGCTTTGTCCCTAGCAGAGACTGCACACTTCTGGGTGGCTTCCTCATATCAATGTCATCCTACCTTACAAGGGTCCTGGATGTCCCTTGATGAGAAGTGGCCCTAGTCACCCACGGGGCCCTCTTCCTTAAACCCCACTTCCCTACACCCTCACTTTCACCATGACTGGGGACAGGTTGCTCTTTCAGTCTGCCAGCCCAGAAGGGGGCCTGTCCCTCTTAAAACCAAAATCAGAGCCCAGAGAGAACGCATTCTGTTTTCTATCACTTGCTTACAGAGTCCTCAACTCACCATACCAAGTTCCAACAAGTTTATGGATGTCAGACTTTCATAAGATAAGAGCATCTCATCTTAGTCAAACGATGATGAGGGATTTCAGGAAGTTCTCCCTCAGCTCAATCACAGATGATTCATGACAGGGCTGGTGGGCAGGCTGTGCTGTGTCTAGTGTCTTATAGATGTACATCAGCCTGGCCTGAAGAATTTCCCATTTGTTTTGATGCCAGAAAGTCAAACCATCCCACCCCACTCCCACCTGCCCTCTCCTCCCCTGCACACCCAAGCACCCATTGTCACTCTTTAAGAGCCAGCTCCTCTCTGGGATTGCAGATGCTTTTTCTCCTCCAGATAAGAAATGCTTCCAGGTAAATGCGCATGATTCAAGAGGGAGGCCGACAGTCCTAAATACCAGAAAAATGTCACAGGACATTGAAGAAGTAATGGACTAAGTCATAGTGGCTCAGATGAAAGGACGTTGGCTCAGAATTCTGTTACCTTTCATTTTGTGGTGAGCATTTCGTGTGTCTCTGTCTAATCTCCCTGCATGGCAGCTTTGCTCTCTGTGGGTCTCTGTCTGTGGCCAGCTGCATCCCCAGTGAAAACCCAACACCCTAGCGCTGAAGGAACCCTTCAGTAACCTTGTCCAGTGTGAGGGAAGGAGGGTAGGAGATGCAAATGAGGGAAACAGCAGCGGTGCCTTCGTTTTCCTTTTGGAATAGAAATGAGGAAAGACCCCTTTCTGATCATTGATGGTGACAAGAAGCACTTCCTTCTGTTTCCAGGGAACTTCACTCCGTTTCAGGATCATTTAAGAAAAGACAAAAACTGTTGATGTGAAGAGTTAGAAATCCAAAGTGTTAAATGTTCTCTTGTTATCAGATTTCATTACTATACAGTAGGTCACTATAGCACAGCTAGCTCGTGTGCTGGAGCTTAGTGATGTCCCATCCCAGAGAAAAAGCTGGGATCCACAACACTGATTCAGAGACCTCCATACAGTAGAAGCAAGAGCAGAGGGACTGTTTATTTATACACCACTGCCCTCTGTAAACAGGAAAGAATGATTTGATTACCTGCCAGCTGGCATTAAACAGTAAGACAAGTCTGGGCTCCTTATGGTCAAGTCCCCAGCAGAAGGATCTCTTCACCCCAGTGGCATTTCCTGGGGCAGATTATTATAGTAGGAATTTATCTCTGTGCGGAGGCTTTGGTCCATCTTTTCTTTTATGGAACTACTTAATTTTTCTCAAAAGAGCTTGGTTTTGAGAGCAAAAGGGAAATGGACAATGGCATCCTCTTTAATGACCATGTTTTTGTCAACAAGCAAGACTATTTCACATTGAATCCTAATTCCTTCTCTTAGGAACTGTCTCTCTGCATCTTGGCGAAAGTCCCATGGGCAGACCACATGGCCACTGGGGACTTCATTTTCTCCCTCTGGGGATCACAGAATGGGGGTGCCCGAGAAGGCCTCTGGAGGAATGGCGTTACAGCCTCCTCCTCTACTGCCCACAGACCTGCACACCCAGCATCCCAAAACTGAGTTACCCCAATCCTAAATATATCCCCCAAGTATGAAGAGATTTTTCTTTTTCACTCTCACTCGTCAATAATGCCCCCACTTGCATAGATGAAACCCAGTTTTCCTAATCCAGAAGTTAAGGTAAGATGAATTGATGCGGCCCTATTTCTCAAGTACGTGGTCAACCCAGAGCCATAAAAAGCCTATTTTGTGATGTCTCTTCCAGGAATTTCATGGGTCTCAAGTCCGGGCCTTGACCTCCCAATTCTGTAGAGAAAGCTAAAAATCATAGTTAAATTTGAGAAGGTGTCTAATTTTTTCCTATTTCTTTGAAACCAGTACTAACATTTTTGGTCACTTTTATGATAGTTGTTTTATTCACTTCAGTGCCCCCTTGTCTTTAAAGTCTCAAAACACATGTGGGAAATGCTAGCTTCTGATTACATTTGTAAAATTCCAACCTTGACCCCAAAGCTGTGATTGTTCAAGATGCCAGATACACAGAATTATTTACTAGGCTTCAGGAGAGCTGTCCAATCATATAAATCTGGATTCTTAAACAAATCCTCCTCTGGGAGGAAAGATCAAAATAATACTCGGATGATGCAATTACTCCAGTGAGCAAAGCCAGACTTCACGATGAAGAGAAATTATAAAGAAAGGCCACAAAATCTTCTGGAGTTCTTTGTCCACTGTTGGCTGATAGCTCTCAGGTTTCTTGTTTGTAATCAGACATTCCTTAACTGAGAGCTTATAAGAGACCAACAAAGTTTCAGTGCTTGTGTGACAACCCTGTGCTTGTCCTTGAAAGCACTCTCTCACAACAGCACCCGTGACCCGAGAGGACAGATGCTGGCAAGGACAAGAGAAAATGGACAGGCCTCTACCCCACGTTATCAGAGCAAGAGCTTGGTTCATCAATGGTTCTGGGGGATTTTAGCCCACAGGTGGTAGAGGTAGGAAACTGGAAGGAGGTTTAATGGGCTTTGTGCGTCCCTCTTGGGTTGGTGCCACTGGCCACTTACTCATTGACCCTTCATCCAAAGAGAGAAGGGGATTATTGTATCCAAGATCCTAACAAGAACATCTCTTCAGTGGTTTGTCAAACATCTAAAGAAGGTCACACGATCATAACCACCCTAACCATCACCTGCTATAATGACCCTTGTTTAATCTGGCCTGATGTGTATCAGCAGTACAACTGTTAGAGTCAGCAGGGGCTCCCGGAGAATAAGAATGAAAAGCCTCATGCCATGTTCTCCACAGCCTTTGACAGGGGGCCCCTGAGGCTTCTTGGGATTACCCTAAGAGAAACTTTTGGAAACTTATGTTGGTACAAGCGAGTTAAGGAAAGAGGTTTGCATGTTGGAGGCCACAGAAGTGCTAAAGGTATCTAAGCCCTCACAGACTCATGCCAAAGGCTCAGAGTCTGTATCATGAATAGCTGTATGCCACCACTATCTCTAGTTTCTTGCAGAGTGACAGGAATAGCGACAGAGCATAAGAAACATTTCTCCTGAAGAGAAAGATGAAGGAATTTGGTGAAGTCCTGAATCCACCACACGCAATGCAAACTCATGGACTTTGTACCTTCTTTTCTGAAAGTTACTGTTTGAAAATCGTGATGGATTCTTAAGTGACTACGTTCCAGGGCAAACGTACCAAGATTTTCAAACAATAGAAGCGTGAACAACAGTATGGACTCCTGCATATCGCTTTTATAAATAAATGGCATTGGACTTCAGAGACCCCAGCTATCCTTTCCATTTTTAATAGCCAGAGACAAGGAAGCTCTACTCTGTTCCCAGAAAACTTGGGGATTTGGTACTGGCTGGCCATTATCAGCTTTTGGACGCACAGTGTGGCTCAAGATCACTGGGTACGAAAGGACAGAGTGGCTTGTGGAGCTGGAATTTGAGGTATCGAATGCCCACTTTTGTCTTCTGAAACCCACAGCATCGGTTGCAACCTGAGTCTGCCTGTTGTTCCTGCTCCTTCCCTCCTTCCCCCCCACTCTGTGTCCCGGGAAATTAGTAAGCATTTTTTAAAGATATTAGAAACATATTGACTTTTAAAAGAGATCATTATTACTAAATTGTTCCTAAAAGTGAAATGGCAATAATAATAATAATAATAATAATAATAATAATAATAATAATGACAGAAATGGCATTAGAAGAGAGTTCTCTGAAGTCAGCCCTTAGGCTTGGGAAGATTAAGCCGACAGAGTAGAGGTAATCTGTACTCGTCACCACAGCCAGGATATCACCCTTAAGTTTGGAGATGAGCAAGGTTTTTCTTGTGAGAGAACTCCCTCAAAGAGGATGCTGCATGATGGTGTGGCCACCTGGATCCCGCTGATGGTGTTTCCCTTCCAACCCTGCGAGAGAAACTCCAGTGCTTCTGTAGCTGGGTTCAGTTATGACAGCAGTCTATGCTCATGACGCTCTGTGAAACTCCACAGATCTGAAAGCTAAGCACACCACCTGAGCCAGGAGGTCCCGCAGATGCTGTATGTGATGACATATTGTGGGAGGTGATGTCTGAGAAATTTTAGATCGCTTTGAAAATCTAGATGAATGAGCTTGACTAAAACAAGCGTGACAGATTGAACCGAGATTCAAGAAAGCCTTCACCTTCACCAGAGATGTTTCCCAGGCCGCGCTACCTGTGGGCTGGCCCTACTTTTCATTGCTCAGCCTTTCACAGCTTTATTTATTCACTCTTGCCTTAATAAGCCATTCTCCTCCACTTTCCTTTCTTGTATCTTGTGATCTCACGGACTCCGTGGCATCTGTAAGCATGAAGGGGAAGCATACAGGCCCAGTTAAAACCTCCTCTTCCCAATTTTCCACTTGGCTATGCAGCCTTCCGGAAGCATATCTCGTCTTGAAACAGAGACCGTATGGATACCTAAAGTCAAAACGTAGCCTCTCATCCACCAGTCTTTTGAGGCAAATATATATTGATGAACAGCAACGATGTCTATCCTTGCCAGAGGACTGAAAAAATAAAATTTATATTTTTTCATGAGGGGAGTAAGAATGTTCCAACAGTTTATAGAACCCCAGGGCTTCCAGATAAGGCCCCACCATGCAGTCCAGTCCTACTTCTGTGCTTTAGATTCGTGTGTGAAATCAAGCTGAGGGTGGAGGCCAGCCTGACAGCATCAGGCCCTTCAGGAGAGGGCCATTGGTCTGGCCACTGTGGGGGTGCACGTAGGGGAGCTGTCACGAGAGGGGTGGAAAGGAAGCTCCCCTAAGGGCTATGACTGCAGCCCAGGTGGGGAAGATGAAATGATACTACTGATTTATGCTGGGAACAAAGGGGGCACATACATGTACTGCGAGGTTTCTTTCAGAGCAATGTTTGACACCCATCCTCACAAGATACGCAAAACCTTAGATTGCCAAGTAAGCCGATGCTTGGATGCAACCCCTCCATTGGAAAACAAAGCCAACATCATTCTGTCTTTTAAGGTAATGAGCACTGAGAAGTGGTCAGGTTTTCTTTTCTTTTTCTTGTCTTTCACGGTGGCATCCGTCGACCTGCACCTTACATTCTGTGTAAGATGCACAAAGGAGAAATGCATCTTACTTGGGACACCAAGCATTCTGCATTCAACTCTATGTGGGCACATGTGTCCGTGGAAAATTCCAGAATGGCAAACAGATAATCTAGTGGTATATTTCACCAAAGACTCAACCCACTTCCCCAGCCCGTATCAAAGATGATTCCAGTTTTGCATAGCGATAAGTTCCAGCTCCCTGGGAGCCCCTCTGCCCAGACAGGGTGCCCTTGTTCTCATGCAGCTGCTTCCCTCAAAGGGAGGTTGGGTGCTGCTCCAGGTGGACAGAGGGCAAGTTCTAGTTTTCCATAAAGTGGAACAAACCTGACAGAGCAGGAGCATGGCCACTTTTGCAGCTCTCCATCCTCCTTTTTCTCCTGTTTTCCCCATCCCTATGTCTTCTTATATATGATCACAATTCCAAACTCCTGGATCGTAGACTGTATTGAAGTTCCTTTTGGCCCTTTCTGGAGAATGTGCTTGCTCTCCCTCCTCCTCTCTCATGTCATCTTGTCTTTGGTTTTATTTTCGCCACCATGGCGCGTCTGTCCCAAACGTGGGGTGCATCCCCTGTGTCTCCTTAGCACCCGGCATGGTTATGTGGCAGGCAGTATTGCACTTACTTGATCCTACCTTAAATGTCCTGTCTTTTATTTCCCAAGCGCACTATCTGGATAGGGTAGTTAAAGGTATGGTCTTCCTTCCTCTATTTTCCTATTGTCTTCGTGTGTGTGTTTGTGTATGAGCATAAAAGAAGAAATGTGTATATAAGAAGTGTATATACACCCCATAAAGCATGGTGTCGAGATGCTGCCACATCCCCAGCTTTGTCACAGCATCCACTACCCAGAGGGTGGGTTTTTGGTCACACGGTGGTTGATATACCTGGAGTGTCATCCTTCCCCTTAAAGCGCTCAGTCTGTTTGTGACATCACCATTGTGCTGTCCTCCTTCCCTCCCCATACACACATCCGCCACTCACTCTTTCTGCCCCATCTTACGTCACCCTACCCATCCCTTACACAGACCCTGGTCCATCAGAATTAAGATGCTGAGGACCAGGGTGGGTGGCCTGAGAAAAGAAGGGGCCCCAGAGCAAGCTAAGGAATCTTAACAACTACACGACATTGCTGTTGTCGTGTTGACTCATCCAACAGCTGCATGCGAAGCACCCACTGGTGCTAGTGCTACGTGTTAGGTACTGTGATAGGCTCTGGAGAATTGGGGAAACAGACCCCTGACCTCAGGGAGTGGATGGTCTGTTTGTTTGGGTTTTGTTTTTTTTTTTTTCCCTTTTCAGAGAAGCCCCAAGTTTGGTAAGTCTTATCTTTGAGGAGTGTTCCCTACAGGCAAAGTCATTCCATTTTAAACATCTTAATTAATTAGGTAGTGCCTAATTTTCCAAATAGGCCTTATTACTCTAAGAATGTGTCTGAGAAAGATTAGGTATGTGTGTACCTAAAAAAGGCTCCGAGCCCCCTGAAGAGAAATACCACGCCATATTCGTCTTGTTGTCCCGAAGTCGTGACACATCACCCGGCACAGAATACGTGCTCAGTGGCTAATGACAAATACTTCACTGTCAGACTGCCTGAGCCTGAACGCCAAGTCCAGCAGTTAACGAACTGGGTGACCTTGGGCAAGTTACTTAACCTCCCTGCACTTGAGAGTCCTTCTAAGATAAACTTGATAACAGGATCTACCCCCCTAGGGTGGGCATGGGGATTGAGCCAAATAATGAATGTAAAGTGCTTAGCACACGGGCAGGGATGATGCTCAGTAGATGTTAGCTATGCTATTTTATCATTATATTCTTATTCTCACCCTTAATTTGGAGGACTTCATTAGCCAGACTAATTTTTGAAGTTGTAAAGAAAACAGCTAAATTGGCTTATAATAAGAGATAGAAACTGCTATTTAAAAACTTATGGAAAGGGTTTGGGGGAAACATAAATGACTGAATACTTTCCAACTGGAACATCTTTGCCAAATACAGCCAAGGTGTTACTGGGGCCCATGAGATGCATGCCTGGTGTTGAGAAGCAGAGTCCCTTGCATTTTATGTGCTGGTCTTCAACAGAGAATACAATCATTCCAGCAAAAGAGAGTCATATCTGTGAGCTTCTTTGAAACAGGAATTTATTTCACACATAACCATTATCAGAGGAGTCCTCAGCATAGATTAAATTTCATAATGTTAACCATCTATTTGGTAGAACTTTCCCTACTATGTGAATTTTTTTTCATATCCATCTAGTCTTAAGCGAGCCCTTTGGGTTTTTGTAAGGGAGCAGATGTAACTACTCTCATTTTATTGGAAAAGGACATTGAAGTTGGGGAAGTTGAGAGGCCCACTCTGGGTCACATTTCTAGTAAGTGGCAGAGCCAGGACTTTGAATTTCCTGACCTGATCCATATTTCCAGCATTCTATCTTCTGTCACCTTTCACCAAAAATGTCCCATAGTTTCCAGGATTCTTCCTCCAAACCATGTTTTCCAAACTGGCAGCCTCTCCAGGAAGTGATGTATGTCCTCTCTGAAACCACCTGTTCCGATCTTTAGTTCAGAGAATATCATCAGACCTTTATTTGGATTAAGCCAATAAATCATAACTTGCTTTAAAGGACAGATGTTCTCTACCAAAATCTAGGTTTGAGCCAGGCCACCATCCTGCTGACTTTCTGGTACATTGGGTACCAATCCTGAAAAAACAAAAAAGAATTTAGAGACCCGTACAGCACAAACTCAGGACTTGTTAGAGTACCATGCAGTTCAGAGATAAGCTGGCTTTTGCTCTTTGTTTTCCAGTTGGGTTGGTAGAGACTAAAAATACAACATGCACTTAACGAATATGTTGAATCCTCCTAAGTGCCAGGAAATGTGGATACCATACAACAGAAATGCTTCCTACTCCTGTATTGCCAGCAGTCTGGCAGGGAAGACACTAATAAAACAAATAATTCCATTGATGTGTGATGAGGGTTATGACAGGTGAATTCCAGGGGCCAGTTATCAATGAGATCCCCCAATTTAGGAAGCACCTTGTAGACCAACATTGTGAACTTCAGCAGAGGCATAGGAGAAAGCCACTACAGGTTTTTAAAAGCAGGATAATGACGTGATTTGGAAGGATCCATCTGGCCATATTGAGGAAAAAGAATTGAGGGGGAATCTTTGGGGGCAAACAGAACAGACCAATTAGGAGACTATTGCCATCATCCAGGTGGGAGATGATGATGACCTTATCTAGGGAAGGGAAGTGACTGTGGGGACAAAAAAGGACAAGAGGACCAGAAAGAGAACCAGAAAGAAACGGGACGTTTTAATACATGATAGGGATATTACATAGCCCCTTTGCCACATAACTAAAAACTACCTTCAAGGATTCTGAAAGTCTTCTTGTCATACCTGATGCTAGCTTCAAGGGGGACTTCTTCATCGGCTTCAGCAGAAGGGCTGAAGATAAAGTGGTCCCTTGTCATTTAAAGGGCATCTTTTCTTTTGAAAAGCTTAGCCCTTCTCTAAACCTTAAAATTACATTATTTTGGCTCTAGCAAATGCCTGATGTGAGTCCTTCCAGAGGGGATTGTTAATGTCAGTTGGGTTCCCTGAATTATTGATGAGTTTCAGAGCTGGTGGAATTAATGAGCGTTAGTGGTGGGTAAGGAGGCATATTGCTTTAAGAAAGTCAGCATGTCACCCCCGAGGAGGCTTCCTCATGCTGGCTAATGGGGGTGTGATTACTCCAGAAGCAAATTGCTGACTGAGAGCAAACCTCATTTAACCCCCAGGTACTCAAAGTCCCTCTGAAACCCTGAGACTGATAGGACAGTGCAGACCCTGAGGGTAGAACTTGGTGCATTTGAAGAAACTAACTGTATTTAAAGCATTCCTGTGATTTCACGTGTAGAGCTGACCCTCCCCGAGAACACCTGCCCCTCCCAGGCAGTCTCCAAGCAGCACCGAACGTGTGCGCTGAGCATCGTGTGCTAAGAGGAGCTCACTAGAGCAGGGGTTCCCAAAGAGGGGTTTTTGGAATGGAATGGTTCACGTTATTATAAGTGGTTATGGGGGGAAATGTTCTGAGGTCAAACTGGAGAATGTTCTGAAAAATAAGCAAGTTTCTTTATTGTAAGACTTCTCAGAGCCTTTAATATATTAATATTCCGTGTGACTTTATAGAATAAGAACTAGGATAAAATAGCTTCCAAATTTGACCACAGAAGCTTGTTTTTGAGGACCTCATAGTACTAGCATTGTACAAAATTCACTTTGAGAAGTATCGTTTGAGATTACGAGACCCATTTTAAATCCTTCCTGGAACAAAGTAAGGTATAGGTAAATAGAATATAACATAATTGAGGGCAGAGGATGATACACTGAATCTCTCTATGCCCCAGAATTAACACACACCTGCCTGGCATCCAGTGGGTGCTGAGAAAAGTTTGTTTAAATTGAGAACAATATCATCAAAATTGAAGTTGCTTTGACCCTCTCTATTGGGTCAGCTGCACCAGAAGGACCTAACACGTCATCTCATCTGAACCTTCATTTTATAGATAAGAAAATTGAAGCCAAAAGAGGAAGAGTAACTTTCCAAAGATCCCACAAGTTAGGCAGCAGGTACCAGAACCTAGGTCTCCTGTCTTCCTCATTGATTCATTTCAACAAATACCCATCAAGTATGTGCTGTGTGCAAGGCAAGGGAATAGGTCCAAAGTTGCCTTATGGTGGTTATAGTCCAACGGAGGGAATAAGCATTAATTGCAAAATGAATAATTTACGTATACTTGGGACGCTGGCTTCCAGGGAGGACAGAGCACCAGGAAAGCATGAAGTGGTGGGCCTGCCAGGCTGGGACCCGTGGCCTTGAACCCATCTCACTGCCTCCCAGGGAGATGCATGTTGACTCCCATGACCACATTGCTGGCCTTGTCTCAACTCTCTTTGGCAAGATTCTTATTTATGAGGACCATAGCTCTTGACCCAAAACTGAGACAGTGGGGACTGGCAAAGGATTATTTCTGGTTTGTGAATTTCTTAGTGAAGTTATTACAATGTTAAAGCTAATCAATTCAATAATAATAATAATAGCAGCTCTCATTTATTGAATGCCTGCTTATGTTACCCATAACTGTGCCAAATAATTGACATACTTTATTTCGTTAATCTTCTCACCAACTCTTTGAATTAGGCCTTACCTCCATTTTACAGATGAGAATACTGAGGCCTAGAGAGTTAAATAATTTGCCAGTCATCACATGGGTAGTAAGTAAAAAGGTAGTATGAGGATTTGTACTGAAGTCTGCCCAGTCCCAAAGTCCACACCATGTCACAGCAAATGGTTTTAATTTAAAATTTAGGATCAAATGGTGTGAAATTGTAACTGCCTTAGAAAACCAGGATCCGAAAAAATAACAAAAAGTTATTTTAAAATAGTATGTGTGAAGTGTCTAGCAGAGCGGCTAGCCACGGTAGACCCTCAGCAGACAGCAACTGTCGTCGTATTACCATCCTGAAGCCTCTAAACCAGGCGTTGGCAAACTACAGCACACAGGCCAAATCTGGCCCATCACCTGTTTTCGTCAATAAAGTTCTATCAGAACACAGCCGTTCATTTATAAGTTATATCTGGCTGCTTTCCAGCTACAATAGCAGGTTTGATTAATTGCAACAGAGACCATGTGGCTCCCAAGCCTAAAATATTTATTATCTGAACCTTTACTGAAAAAGTTGTCTGACTCTGATCTAGACAAGTGCCTCAGGTTTCCGTGTTGCCTTTCTATGAGCCCTGTGTATGATTATGGGTACGACTTATGATACCGTGTGCCCTTTATTCAAAATAGAAGGTGAAAAAGGTCAGTAGAAGACTCAGATATTGTGTTCAAGCTGTATGTCAGACTCTGTGCTTCATGCATACACTATCTTATTTAATCCCATGAACAGCCCCATTTTGTAAGTAGGCTGAGGCTCAAAGAAATTAAATAAGGTGCTTGGGTCATAAAAGCCACTGAGTGACGGAACCAGACTGATAGGGCTTCCGGGTCCGTGCTCTCGCACAAGGGGTGTTCTTTGTATCTCACAGGAGGCTACATCTTGGAGCAAGAGAAAGCGGTCCACTACCATTCTTAACAATTGGACTCTACTTCCTCCAAGACTGATTTTGAATACAAATGAGGCTCAATTGAAAGGCAATCCCAGCAGGATGGATAAACATTTAAATGGGACTGACTGGGGAAAGAGGGAGTCTGCAATGGTTTTGGCCAGGAAAGGCGGCTGGTCAGATCAGGATGGCTGGGTAATCACCTGCATGCACAGCACTGCTCCTGCGCCTTTACGACTGCTTTCTCGATCACTTTTGGGGTGACCGTGCTGGTGGCTTCCCACCTTTCCCAACAGGCTTCTGCTGTGCAAAGACCACAGCACTGCTTCTAAATTTCTGGAAGGATCCTGCTAGGCTTGGAGTGCATGGTCAATAAATGTTCCTTCCTTTGAATGACAAACACCGTGGCCAGATGGATTGGTTGCTGTTTGAACATCTCAAATACAAAGGAACATGCTCCTTTCTTTTACTTTGCAATAAAAGGCAACTACCAAAGGTCCTTGAAACACTAAAGTTTTATATTCTAATTGATGGTTCACTCAGTGATTCCGTACCTTGGCCTACGTCTTTTACTGAACAGCTACATTCGCATTTGTCCCATTTAAGAATAATGGGCCAATTTTCAGTTACTCTCTGGCAAAATTCAGTCGGTAGCCATATTCGTAGCAGTCTGCTGCTCATAGTAATGAATTAAGTTTTATAGATGACTTTCGCGTCCATACCTTTCCCTGAGACCGAGCAGGGGTAGAGAGAAAACGCAGAAGGCATGCCAGCGAAAGCTGTTTTTTGATAGCTGCTCTGAGAAAGGAGCTAGCGGATGTTAAAATGAGGACTTGAATGAAAACCAAGTGGCAAAATAGAAGCTGAAGTGAACCGTGTAACTTAGCAGATTCTCAGGCATAGATTCCTGAGCCCCAAACTCAGAAGGGTTTCAAAAGGTGGTAATAAAAAACCTGTAAATCTACCTGACAAGTAATAATAACTCCCCACCTTATTTGTTGGGCAAAGCAGAACCGAGGCAGAGTCTAAACATTGCCTGACCCTTCTTGATGAAATCACCCGAGGTTCTCCCAGACAGATGGTCACTCCTGTATCAGGTTCCCACCATATTTTGTACATCTCCCCGAGGGCACGTAGCAGTGAAATATTTTGCTTATACAAATCTGTCTCCTTTGATAGGCTGCATGCTCCTCAAGAATAAGAACTAGGTCTTATTCATCTCTATACCTCCAGGGCTGGCCTAGAGAAGGTGCTTAATAAATGACAGACAGGCACACAGATGTACAGATGAACTACATTAGGGAAGGGCAGCTTGCCTGTACCTGCATTTGCAAACACAGACGGCCCTAGTTAGTCTGTCTTCATGGTAGTCTCCGGAGCTTTTATGCATGCCGAACCCTCTTCTTAGGGGCTATAGATAAGATGGGAAGCAAGAGACCTAAGGACCCTTCCTCAAAGCAAAGACAGCTTAGGAGAAAACAGGACAAAGTAAATGAGAAGCCTAGGGTCCAATACGATTGACCCAGTAACCAGTGCTGAAAAAAGCATAGCCCTTTTAGAATGAGACCCAGCAGTGCTGAGGGAACATGAGAAGTATACTGGCGGGGGGATGATCGCTTCATTCCAAACAGCCCCCCAGAAACAGGAAAGATACACAGGAGTGAACATGGAGCAAGGATCAGGCAAAAGTTTCCACCACTCACATTCTGACAGGCTCACATCCACTGACCCACCCTTGGGAATCCTGATCACTTTTGAAAGGGAGGATTTCAGATGCCGAAGGCGTGACTTTCAGACCTACCCCCAGCACTTTCCAACTTCCTAACCGTGCGGACCTAGCAAGTCCTTTCGCCTCTGCCTCTCAGTGGCCCTCTCAGCAAAGGGGCAGTTCCTAGCGATCCGTCTTCCCCGGGTGCCAGGGGCATCGATATGCTGAAGGATGTGAGAGCATTTTCCAAGCAGGCAGGAAGAGCGTGAGTGTGTGTGACTGCAGGTGGCTGCGGACGATCAGACCTCGATTCTGCGTGCTTTGCCTTGCAGAGGGTTGCCCTGGGTTGTGCAATGGCAACGGCAGATGTACCTTGGACCTCAACGGGTGGCACTGTGTCTGCCAGCTGGGCTGGAGAGGAGCGGGCTGTGACACATCCATGGAAACCGCCTGTGGTGACAGCAAAGACAACGATGGAGGTAAGGCTCCGGCACCCAGGGGCCCCATGCAGCTCCAGTGGGGGGTCAGGGTGAGGCCACAGGGTGGCGGGTGGGCATTATCGAGGCCACAGACCCCTGGCATACCAGCTGTCCAGTCAAGGAGGCCTGCAGGGCAGGCAGAAAACTGCACATGTGGTCTAAGGAATAAGTACGTATCTCCACTTGTCCCATCTTAATTAATTTAAATGAACTAATGTAAATAAAATTAATTGCCATCTGACAGCAAGTGCAGGGGAGAAGGCATATGGAAGAAAGAATTTTCTAGCAACTCAATAGTGGGATGATTTACCTGGCAAAGTCATGAAGTCCCCCTCACTGGAAATGGACAAGAAGAGGCCATCCAGTTTTGTGTTACAAAAAGTGGCAGAAAGGACGCCTCTCCAGGGGAGGGAGCTTGAGTTCCCTTCGGTTGACTCCCCTTCTCCCCTCATTCTGGTAATACCCTCACTGAGTCACTTTGCCCCACATCCTGTGTTCCCGTGGGTTTATAATAGAGCTGGTCTTAGTTAATAGGTTTTTTTTTTTTTTTCCCAAGTGCTACACAGTCAAGCCCCTAAAGAGGAGTGGCCTAGTCTTGTGGAACATTTCCTAGCTGAGACAGAAGAGACCAGGGTTCCAATCTCCATTTGTCTTTGACCTCTGTGTATCCCTAAGCAGGTTACTTGATTTCTCTGGGCCTCACACTCCCTATTTATAAAATAAGGCAGTTGGATCATGAGGACCATTCCAGTCCTTAAATTAGTCTAGAATTAGCCTTTGTCTTTCTGTTGTGTTACCTTGGATGAATATAACCACGATGTGCCCTACTTTCTCTCCTGGAAGATAGGTTGATTCTTCCTAATTCTCCTAATCTCAGGGGGTTAGTAGGAGAGATTAAAAACAGAGAAATGAAAAAAAAAAAAAAAAAAAAAAAAAAAAAAAAAAAAAAAAAAAAAAAAAAGGAAACAGTCGATGCTTTCTTTCTAACGATGACCTAACAGCTGGCCTAATCCAAATGTGTTTTTGCATTTATACTAAGGGACTTTCTAATGTACAGCACAGATTAGGAAATCAGCAGGCCAGAAACTTAGCATCCCAACCTCTGGGAATTTTCTACTTAGTGTGATTCTACAATCTCAGAGCACCATACAGATTAAAAGGCCATGTGGGGGTTTATTGTGATTATTCTGGTTCATTTGCTTTCAGTTGGCTACAGCAGTTTGGAAAGGGCTATTTCAGACCACTGGTCTTTGTCTGAACCAGTTTTCAGTCCATCTCCCTGCTGCCTGCATCCAGGAGGTGGTCAGGCCTATGTGCCAGTCAGGGCCTTGTGGAATAGTTGTCAACAAGGAGCTCATAGGATTGGGCCTTGGCAGATAAGCAGAGAGAGCAGGTTCAAGTTCTCCTCTTGAGAACTTGCAGGGTCAAAATGTCCCTTAATCAATCTGAAACTTAGGGAGTCCATTAATTCCTGTGTTCCATAAATATCCAGAGTTCCTCTTGTGGGGCCAGGTCCCAGGCCAGGCACAGAGATGACAGAGTCCTGTCCCTGTGCTCCAGGAATTCAGATGGGGGAGAAAAGTCCAAGGTGAAGTGCTAGTGGACAGTGGGATACTGTTACAGAGTCCTCTATTGGTCGGTGTAGGAGCAGAGAAACATTCACCTGGAAGGTGTTTCCTGGAAAGGAAGGGGCTTTCTGTTCAGAGAAATCGTCCTGGGCAAAGGCAGAGCAAAGCACTGAAGGGCACCAAGCATCCTTGTCTTCAGGCAAGAAGAAGTGCGATAATATTTGCTCTTCATAGGAAAGAGATGTCAGCCTAAATTATCTGCATCACTCCCCAGCCTTCTCCTTTACTTTGCCTGTAGACACAATTCCAATGGCCAACAATAACTTCACGTAGTTAGAAGAGAAGGCGACAGGAGCTGCACCATGAAGTCATTCCCCTGTCAGGAATGCAGGGTCTTGGCCAAAGCCCTCAAACAGCTGTTGAGCATCTGGGCAGCAAAGGAACCGTGTGTCCTTGACAAATGTGGGGAGAGGGCACACATACAAGAATAGGTTATAAAACAAGGTTCGTCTGTTGCCTCACATGAAGCACAACCCTTGTGTATCCTGTTTACCATCCTTCAGCCTGCCCTCCCAGGGCTAAAACTCGCCAGTGTTTGCATGGGGCAGGGACACACGAGAGCCCAAAGCCCCACAGCTTCGGTGGGAGAAAGAGCTTCCCATCATAGGAAACAGGGTTGATCCAGACCCCAGAGGAATGCAGCCTCCTCCAGGCGCTCTGAGGGATAAACCAGCAGGGACTAGAAAAGAACAACCAGAAAATCCTCAAGTACAGGGATTAGACCTCTTGCATTTATGGAGCATGTTACAGACTGGGACGAGCTTTTACATACCTCTTAACAAAGCCATATGGTAGCATCGTAACCTGAGCTCATTCACGTACTCAACCAACATTAAATGAATGTCTACTATGCATCAGGCCCTGTCCTGCATCCTGGAGTTTCAGAGACAAATAAGACATGGTCCCTGCCCTTATGAAGTTCATGGTCTGGAGGGAGAGATAAGCAGCCTGCAATTGCATTGCAATAAGATAATTGCTGTGGTGAAGGAGTATCCAGTCTTTCAACTGATATTATCACTTGCCTGAGCACCCTACTGGGAACTGTGATATGCTTCCTGTCCTGTGAGGCCTCCAGTCTAGCCAGGAAGACATTCATGGGTCATCATGGTTGGGAAGACAGCTAGCCTGGGAGACCAGATTGTTAAGCAAGCTTGGTTTTGTGTTCTCAACTGTAAAATGAGGAAATGTCTTACCCAGGGTCCTTTCAGCTTGGTGGGTTCTCCACCCATTGGGGGAGCTAAGGAGATGGTGCATGAGGTCCCTGCTTTGCAGGGCAGCACAGAGGAAACAGCCATGGGGAGTAGACTGTCCCCTAGTACTGGAGGGGGCAAGTCTATCCTCGCTGGCCTATTACCCTCAGTCTTGGCCAAACGGGAGCAGTTTTGGTGGAGGGAGGAATGGGGCAGGCTATACAAGGCATCACAGAGTGAGCCATATTTAGCACTGGGCTGTTTTCAGTTCTGTCAAGCACACATTTGCTGGGCTCCTACTGTCTCCAAGACACCATGCTCCTTTCTGAGGGGATAGAAAGAACCAGTGATCGTGGCCCAGTCTTTCTCCCTTAGGAAGCCCACAGTCATTTGGAAGAAATTGCTATCCTAACAACCCAATCTAGTGGAGACAGAATGGAATACGTGCCTTTCAGCCACGATGTGGAACGCAGCATAATTCCAGATAAATAAGGCAGGGTGGCAGGGAAAGCGTTAGAGTCTAGCTGAGTGTTGTTCTCGGCTGATGTGACACGGGGGCTCGGAGAAGGAAATGGCAGAGTTTAATGTCGAGGAACAGGACTGGAAGAGACACTGCAGCCCCCTCCTCCTCATCCCTGCGTGTTGCAGGCAGGGAAACCGGAGCCCAAAGAGGGGGTGTTCCATCACACAGGAAGTGAGTAACATGGCCTGCACTAGGGCCCAAGACTCTTGGGCCATTCCACGTGGCCTCGTAACCCTACAGTACTTCTGCCTTCTAGCAATTCATCCTCTTCCTAGAAATGCAGGAATTTAAATAGGCTACTACAGTTCCCAAAGCCGACAAGGGGCTGAGAATGATAATCTGGATGCCAGTTTACAGTTTGCAGAGCAATTATGCATCCACCCAGTAACTCTCGAGGTATGTGGTGTTATTATCCCCTTACTATTTCTGTATAATGAGGAAACTGGGGCTTAGTGAGGGGAAGTATTTGCCCGAGTCACACGGCTGATGGGTGGCAGAAACTGTCATAGTCTGGGAGGTCTGGCCACGCTATCTCTTGAGTGTGCCCAGACTTCAGACTCGTGGTTCCATGGTAAACCCAACTGCAGCTCTTCAAGTTATCTGAGAACTTCTGGTTTCTCTTCTTTCCCAATTTGCTAGGCTTAAGGCAGTCCTTTCTAAATTAAACTTGAATTTCAAGCTTCATGAAGAACGCTGTTGAGGTATTTTTAAACTATGAGACAAAAAAAAAAAA